CAGCCTTACGATGCCCTTTGCACTGCGGTGCTCGCCCGCAGCGGCAACACATACCGTCCGCTTCCGTTTACCCGCACCAGGCAGGTTTCCCCGGCGTCGCAGAGCAAGGTACGCACGCAAGCGCACGCAGAGCAAGCGACGGCACGTGACACCGTGGCCCTCGCCGTTTCCGCGACCACCAGCTCAGACGTCTCGGCCTCCTCCTCGCCGCAGCTGCTGGTCAGCTCCTCGACGGTGCCCCCTGCCGCTCCGCCACCTGCCACTGGTGCCAGCAATGGCCTGCCGGGTGCCTCGCCACATTCCACTCGCACCTCCCCGGCCAGCAGCCGACCACCCTCGGCGTCCCCGCTCCCCGCCCCTGTGCCTGTCTCTGTTTTGTGGTCTATGACGGGCCCCAGCGCCGTGTCTTCGTGGAGCCAGAGCCTGCCCTCATCGTCGGCGTCGACACCGGCAACCACCAAAGCAACTGCCACCGTCGCCCCTCTGCCCGTGGCGCCGCAGCAGGCACCTGCGTCGAGACCCGGCGTCGCACAGGTGGTTTCGGCCAACCCCAGTCCTCGCACCTCTGGTGCCTCCCGGCTCATCCAGCCGAAACAGCCACAGATCCGGTCCAAGCTGTCGAGCGGCAGCGCGAACATGACGACGCCTTCGGCAGTGGCGACCACCCGGTCCCAGTCTCCCCGGGCGGCCCAGCACAAGGCCACACCGCGGCCCGCGCCTGTACCGGCGCCGCAGCCTGCGACCATTGTGCAGCGCGGAGCCGCGATGGGGCTCAACACGCGGAGTCCGCTGCTCATCGGGAACCCCGCGGCAGCGCAGCCGGGCATGTTTCCGGCTGGACCTGCGCACGGCATTTTCCTGCTTAACCCGTACATTCCGGGCCTGGGCCACAGCCCGATTCTGACACAAGGCACACTGGGGCAGACCCAGAGCTCTCTGGGACAGATACAGGGGGTCCAGCTAGCCCTGCGGCCACCCCATGCCACAGGCCTGACCCTGGGACCTCAGACGGGGCCCAGGCCCCATGGGGAACATCCAGGACTGCCTGGCACCCCGACGCTTGTCATTCCACAGAACCTGGGGCCAAGGCCCAACATCTTTCTGGCACTGCCACGCATCATGTCGCCCCCCTCGTTTGCCATAGTCCCGGGACAGCCACTGACGCTGCAACAGCTGCAGGCCATGCTGCCCACGCAGACCATGCTGGCCCAGCCCACACTGGGTGCGTTCCAGACAGACCAGCACCAATCCCTGGTGCAGATACCGACGTTCACCCAGCCGCAGATACTGGCGCATGCCCACCATCACCACCACCACCACCACCATCATGGCGCCCTGTCGGGACCTCTAATCTCAACAGGCGGCAGTATAGTGTCCTCTGCACCCAGCGCCAACATTGTCACTCACCATCCTGTCATGACCTCGCGACACACGGTCCACTCTCGGCCTTTCCGACCAGGTCACCGTGAGACCCGCTTGTCGGCTACCACAGCGACACGGCACTTCCTCCTGCGTCCTCTGCGCAACTCCCAGAGTCGCCCACCAGAGACACACTGCTTACCGATGGCCTATAAACGTTGACAACCTGGACTTGCCAAATGAACACTTTATGGACTGCCGTTCATGTACATAGCATTTGTCGCCCTCTTTCTTTTTTTCATATGAGTTCAAATCGCGCAAAGCGCTAGGGGGGGAGCCCTGTAGTGCCATCATCAACATCATCATTTTTTCCATCACCGCGCCGCGTCTCTCGCGCAGCTGGCGCGAGCTCGAGCTGCGCGAGAATGAGAATTAGAACGAGCTTCTGGCCTGGCGGTTTGGACGCTGGTAGTCGACGTGGCTCCGCTTCAGGCCTGCAATAAAGTGGCGAGATCGGCACGGCCCCATCGGCCGCCTTCGACGTCATCTCACGTCTCCTCTTCTCTCGCCGCTACAAGGCTATTAAATTCCTATTTTGAAAGAGGGCAAGGATCCTTCTTTACCTTCGAGTTACAGGCCTATTGCACTCACAAGCTGCTTGTGCAAAATCTTCGAAAAATTGATAAACTGCAGACTTGTACATTTTCTTGAAACAAACAATTTGCTCGACCCATTTCATGTGCGGGTTTCGAGAAAGTAGATCCACCACAGACCACCTTGTTCGTATCGAGGCACAGATCAGGGACGCCTTCGTCCATAAACACTATTTTCTCTCTGTGTTCCTCGATATCGAAAAGGCTTATGATACAGCATGGCGTTTTGGAGTTTTAAGAGACCTGTCCCACCTTGGCGTGCGCGGAAGAATGTTTCACATAATCAAAAGTTACCTGTCAAACCGGACATTCCGTGTCCGAGTGGGCACGGCTCTTTCCCAAACATTCGTCCAGGAAACAGGCGTGCCACAAGGTGGTGTACTTAGCTGCACACTTTTTCTCATCAAGATGAATTCCTTGCACTTGTCCATCCCTCGCAATATGTTTTATTGTACATATGTCGACGACGTCCAGCTTGGCTTTAGATCTTGCAACCTGGTAATGTGTGAGCGACAGGTTCAGTTAGGTTTAAACAAGGTCTCCAAATGGGCAGAGGAAAATGGATTCCGACTGAACCCACTAAAGAGCACGTGTGTCTTGTTCTCCCGAAAGAGAGGCATGCACTCAGAACATGACATTGAATTGAACGGTCAACGTCTGTCTGTCAATGTGGAGCATAAATTCTTAGGATTAATCTTGGACAACAAGTTGACCTTCGTACCGCACATCAAGTATCTAAAAACAAAATGTTTAAAAGCCATAAATGTTTTAAAAGTGTTGTCACGTACTACGTGGGGTAGTGACAGGCAATGTCTCATGAATCTGTATCGAAGCCTCATTCGCACCCGTTTAGATTATGGGGCCATTGTTTATCAGTCTGCAACACAAAGTGCTTTGAAGATGCTGGACCCTGTGCACCATTTGGGCATCCGCCTTTCTACGGGTGCTTTTCGCACCAGCCCCGTAGAAAGCCTTTATGTTGAGTCGAATGAGTGGTCGCTTCATCTGCAGAGAACTTACATGTCCTTTGTTTATTTCTTTAAGGTGAAAGCAGATAAGAAGCACCCCTCATACTCCACTATTATTGATTTGTCGAGCTCCATTCTGTATCAAAACAGGCTTTCGATGAGGCAGCCCTTCTCAGTTCGCCTGAAAAGTCTAGCTGAGGAAACTGGAGTCTCACTTGAACATAGTTTAATGGCTCCTGTAGCATATCTGCCACCGTGTCAATGGCAGACTATAGACTGTGATGTGTCCTTTCTTGAAGTTACAAAACATGCGCCTATTGCCCATATCCGAACATACTTCCTGGAACTTCAACACAAATACACACGTCCTGAGTTCTTTACAGATGCCTCCAAGTCTAACTCCTCTGTGTCCTACGCTGCTGTCGACCCATCCTTTTCGGATGCTGGCCCTCTACATCCAGGCGCAAGTATCTTCACAGCGGAAGCCTACGCGATACTTGTGGCGGCTAAACACATCAAGCAATTACAAATACAAAAAGCAGTAATTTATACAGACTCCCTCAGTGTAGTAACGGCTCTGCACACTCTTAAAAAACACAAAAACCCAGTCCTTGTCTCACTTTACTCCATTTTATGCACACTATACACACTCAAACAACATGTTGTAGTGTGCTGGGTGCCGGACACCGTGAGATTCAAGGCAACGTGAGGGCGGATCAGCTCGCTGCATCCGTCCACAAAAGCACTGCCCCTACACCCATATCAATCCCGGCCGTTGATCTTAAGCCGTCTCTCAAACGAAACCTCAGAGTATACTGGCAGAGCAAGTGGGATACACACACACAAAACAAACTACACGTTATTAAGCCACACCTTGGTCATTGGCTGCCTGTATCGAAATCGCGTCATACAGAGGTAATACTAACGAGACTCAGGATAGGACACACATACATGACACACACACACCTTTTGTCCGGTGGCGATCCACCATTGTGTGACAGATGTGGTGAAGTATTGACAGTCCTTCACATTTTAATTGAGTGCAAACAATTGGACACTGTAAGAAAACAACACTTTCCATTACCCTACCGACAACATATACCTTTGCACCCTGCAATGTTCGTCGGTAGGGAACCGCTTTTTAGTCACAAATCATTGTTAGCGTTTTTTAAAGAAATTCATAGTTTTCACATCATATACCCGGGCATCCCGTAGCATGACCTCTCCAGAGAGGTTTTTGCTGCGGTGGTTACACAAGAAAGCACTTGCCTCACGGCCCTTGGACGCAAGGGTATGAACAAGTGAGGCACTTGTGCTAATGTCATACATATCCACCATCGTCTTTTATTATCACCAACTTTTGTCATCATTCACACCGCACACACCTTTCACGAAATGGTCATGATTTTATTACTTGTATGTTTTTACCCGCCTTACCGCGAGGAATTTTATGGCCCTTATACAGCCGCTTATCACAATCATTGTCCATGTTTTTAGTAAGATGAACTGGCGCTCTTTGGCCGTGAACTGGCCCTTGCGCCATAAAACATCAAACATCATCATCATCATCATCACCCTGCAATGTTCGTCGGTAGGGAACCGCTTTTTAGTCACAAATCATTATTAGCGTTTTTAAAGGAAATTCATAATTTTCATATCATATACCCGGGCATACCGTAGCACGACCTCTCTAGAGAGGTTTTTGCTGCGGTGGCTACACAGTAAAGCACTTGCCTCACGGCCGTTGGACGCAAGGGTATGAACGAGCGAGGTACTTGTGCTAATGCCATACATGTCCACCATCGTTTTTCATTATCACTAACATTTGTCACCTATTCACATCACACACACTTTTCACGGCATGGTCATGATTTTATTACTTGTATGTTTTTACCCGCCTTATTGCGAAGAATTTTATGGCCCTTATACAGCCGCTAATCACAATCATCGTCCACATTCTTTGTCCCATGAACTGGCGCTCTTTGGCCATCAAATGGCCCTTGCGCCAAAAAAACACCATATATCATCATCCTGGACAGCTTTTCCGAGCAGGGCCCCAGCTGCCTGCAGTTGATTGACTTTGGGCGTGCGATTCGACATGAGCCAGTTGCCGCCTGGCACGGCATTCTCCTATGTGGTCACCACAGAAGGGTTCGTCTGCACCGAGATGCGAGACAATCGCCAGTGGACATTTCAGACTGACTGGGACTGGTTCGGCCTGTTGGGTTGCCTGCACGTGCTCCTCTTTTGGGCACTACATGGAAATCGAGAAGAGGTTCGACAGCATTTGGGGTATCCGAAACAAGTTCAAGAGGTACTGGCAGCAGGATGTGTGGAACAGACTCTTTTCGAACCTCCTGAACAATCCCAGCTGCTCGGAGCTGCCCGACCTGATGCCTTTTGTGCTGGAGATCAAGAGCCTGCTGCGCTACAAGTCATGTGCTCACAGTGTCGTCGTGGAAGCCCTGCGCACCAAGAACTTTTAATTTTTTTTTTACTGTTAATTTTTAATTGGCTCTACATATTTTAGAACAACCTCACCCCAAAGAGACTCTTCAAGTTGCAAAGAGTTGCAGTGGCTGTAATGTGTGGTATTTTTAAGTGTAAAAGAAACGTTTTTTTAAATACAAGATTTTAACTTTTCGTTCAACAGTTCACAGAGTTTATTGGCAGGTGATGGGATGACTATGTAGTGACAATGTGGGTTTTTCTTTTAACTGTGGGCTAACAATGAAGTGCTGTGTTACCTTTTGGCTTAGAGCGTAGGTAGTGTACTGGGTTTTCTTATCTGACGTGGCTGTTTTGGAACACGTGGGCTCCAGTAAACTGGTGTAGCCATGGTCAAAATGACCGTAAGGTGTTCAGTGTGTTGCGTAGGTTTGAAGATGGAGGTTTGTTTGAGTGACAAGGCAGAAGAAGCTTATGCCAAGTGTAGATAACGGAAGGCACAGGCAAAAATGAAAATTATGGCTACCCAGACTGAACTTGCGCTGAAAGTCTCAGAGCTTGACAATGCTGTGGTAATGGGGTGAAACAATAGATGAGCTATGAGAGAAAGTTAAAACAATTAAGGAAAGCCTGTCAAAGGTCGTTGATAGGTATAAAGAGACAGCTGAAACAATAGGGCGTTGAGCCCCAGTCGTGCGAGAGGTAAAAGGGGCCATGGTAAAAGCAGGTAAATGATCGCAGGGCCCTGAATTTGGGATGTAGTTTTGAGAGAGGCAGGGTACAAAGCAGCGGCCATGACCTGCACTGGTCACGAAGTTAACCAGCTGTAGTTTTACTTCAGCAGCAAAGCCTGCGTACATTGTTTTCATTGGCAGATCCAGCCACTTATTTTAGAGGGATGGGGCGGTCGCTTGAATTAACACCACAAAAGGGGGCCGTGGTCATTACTTTTTGTTTTTACTGGCACAAAAGCCCTGTAATGGCCTTGTAAATACTGTTAATGTGTGCTCACAGTGGTCCCACTCGTTCCTAAGTGGTGATAACAGGTGAATGGCAAGCACTGAAGGAAGGGGGTGTTGAGAGGCTTTGAGGGAGGGGGCAAACGCCCCCCCCCTGGATTCACCACTGATTGTTTTTGCTCATTACTGTAAATTTAGGGGTGGTACCATTTTTTCTAGGGCAGCACCGAAGACAATTTTGTTCCTTGAGGAGGGTAGGGAGGCACAGAAGTTGTGCGTTGTGTTAAATGCGAAGCATTTCATTGCTTACTGCAAGCTTTTTTGGCATCTATCTGCGTATCTATTTAGCCGACTACGTTTGGGTGCTCTCATGACCACCCCCTTAACTTGGCGTGAACCAAATTAGTATGAAAGGGTAAAATGGCTTGATGAATATGACCCACTGGTTGTGACACAATTGTCACCATCTCGTGACCAAACCCCATGTACAGCGTCAAACACTTTCCGCCAGACAGTGGCACATACCTGCTGGCAGGTATGTGCGACTGGTATGCAGTTATGCGCCACAGGTGATTGACACTTTCTATGTACCCAGTAATGGTGACAACTGTCATTGATAATGTAAATGCGAGTATGCTAAGAAAAGTGTGAGATCAGCAGCATTGAACCGATAAACATCAGGATCCCAGCAAACTCAAGCATTCTGCGGGGCAATCAAGTATTGAAGCTACGCCATGTTTTGGTGCTGCATTCGAAAATTACACTGTTCAGGTTCAATGTTGGTGTCAATTGTAGTTGCAATATAGCGTACACTTACATTGCACATTTACCCAATGTAGAGATTTCAAAACTGCCTTTGTCTAAACTGTAGCCTATATCTAATAAAACGTTTTACTTTGCTAGTTGATGCATAGGTAAATACATGTGGGATGCTGGCTGTTCATATTTATAAACATTGCATATGTACTCTTCTGATACAGTCATCTCATCAAGTTAACGTCAGTTGTAGTTAAGTGCCATTCACTGAAGTCAATTTATGTACCAGCTCGCAAGCACCAGCGTTACATATCAGCGTTAAGCTTCTCAGCAGCTCGAGTTCTGATACTCGTGTTGCTGTTGGCATCGTTGCGCAAGTGTAAACAAGTGGTTATATAAAACGTGTGAATGTTTCAACATATGTCTATGCATACATTTTTATATACATTTACCATCATTTCTTAACAGGTTTGATTGATTGATATGTAGGGTTTAACGTCCCAAAACCACTATATGATTATGAGAGACGCCGTAGTGGAGGGCTCCGGAAATTTAGACCACCTGGGATTCTTTAACGTGCACCCAAATCTGAGCATTTCTTAACAGGTCACCCAATAAATAAGGTTACAACGCGGTCACCTTCGCTCCGCATGCTTTGCATGGCATGCATTTTCAAGATACGTGTGATCTGCTGAACTTTTTTTTTACTATTCTTGCTCTTGGGAAAGATAAAGGGAGGCAAGTAAAAATTTTGGCAGGGCCCACCCCTGCCCCCTTCAGGTGCCGCACCTTATCAAATTCCATTCGATGCACAAGGGCAATTAAGAAAAGGTTGAAAGGCCATAAAAGTTTCTGTAGCGGCATACATTGGGGAGGCAAGGAGAAAACTTGCAGTGAAAGTCCACGGGTGCAATTCTATGGTAAATGCAGGAGGGCTAAATTATGTCTTGAACAAAGATTTGTCAAGGCAGAGAATGTAACAACATGGCTAGAACAAAAAAAACGAAGGAACAAAGACCACCACACAAGTGCTGAAGAGTAAAGCAAATAAATACCGAGCAACTCTGGGTTTCAGGCCCAATAAGTGGAAAGAAAATGTGGCTATGGGTAGCTTACTTGTGGACGGGGAATAAGAGCAGTGAAAAGCATTGGGAGGTAGTGAATTGAGCGAGCACAGATATTAGGCAAATTGGTAATCAAGCTGAAATCCTGCTAGTGGATATGAATGCCCCACACACGACCTTGGCAGATACTCAAAACACAATGGGAAGTTATCTCTAGATCTCTGCGAGCAACATAGTCTTAAGATGGTAAACACGTGCTATTTTAACTATCTGTGATGTGATGCGTAGATTACGTGGGCAAGTCTGAAATAAGCAATCAAACATTGATTATTGTTCCATGACTGATGGAATTTGTCACAAACTGAGAGAAATGAGAATAGAAGAGAAGATAGTGATTGATTGATATGTGGGGTTTAACGTCCCAAAACAACCATATGATTATGAGAGACGCTGTAGTGGAGAGCTCCGGAAATTTCAACCACCTGGGGTTCTTTAATGTGCACCCAAATCTGAGCACACGGGCCTACAACATTTCCGCTTCCATCGGAAATGCAGCCGCCGCAGCCGGGATTCGATCCCGCGACCTGCGGGTTAGCAGCCGAGTACCTTAGCCACTAAACCACCGCGGCAGGGCAAGCTTGGGTAGCGATCATCATTATAAATGGGATATAAAATTGAAAATAAAAGTGCAGAATCAGTTTGGCAGCTCGTATTTAAATGACCAATAGCAAGCATAGCCGTAAAAGTCGAGAAAAAATCATCGAAAAATACCATGCTAGGACTTGGGGTATAGCGAGCTGTTACGCGTAAAGACGAGTGAGACAGGGAAAAAGAAGAAAACAGTTTGCTGGAAAGGAAAGCCAAAAAGCAGGTGGAACAAAGAATTTAAGGAAGCAGTGTAAAGCATCGTGTGAGCGTAGACGGGCAAGAAAGGAGAAGTGGCCTCGGGACGAAGTGAACAAAGTATGTATAGAAAAAAAGAAATCCATTGTACACAAATTGTTTGAGAGAAAAATGAAAAGTGAAAATGATGAATTGACACAAAACAAAAAAAAAGTCTGCTCCTAGGGTATCTTGAGGCCACTTACGAACACTAGGTAGGAAGTCTCACAATGAAACTACATATTATACATAATGAAGGAGGAAATCAATTGGAAGGCTACAAAATGCCAGGTTACATCTGAAAGGTAAGAGCCAAGTCATTTCAAAAGATCGTCCAGGGGATTTTTCCTGTGATTAAAAGTAGGAAGGAAAGCAAAACTTTGGGTGGGGTTCTTGTCAGCCTAATTAATGGATTAGAACGTAGCGCTAAAGGAAGCACTGTAGACGGCCATAAAATATTCTCACTTGACAAAAGTATGTACCAGACATCTGGCAAGAAAGTTAAAAAAACTTTATAAAAGGCATGGGAGAAATGGGATAGCATAAACCTTTAAAGCACAATAGCCTAGGGTGCCTTGTTAATGTTTGTCGGCCTTACTAAGCGATGGAGCACTTTAGAATCGGAGCAATCTGAGGAATAATGTAAATCCTTACTTTTGCATGTAAACGCCTTCCTTCAAACTTACCAGCGTCAACTTTACATACATAGAAACACATTTTTAGGAAAGCCATCAATGAAATACCGCATTTATCAGTGAAAATTGTTTTCTTATTATATTGAAATATTAAAACTGTCAACATTTTTTATAATGTGAATGATAACTTGATTTTTTGTAGTGGCGAGGGTTTCGAACCTGTAGTTCCTCGGTGAGTGGAAATTTCAAATCAAGAGGAGGAGCATTGAACTATACTAGAGAGGTGCATCACAGTAATGGGATACAATATACATAAATTTCTTAAGCTTATCAGAAGAGCGACATCTGCTGGCAGTATTATCCTAGGTCCTTGAAACTGCTGTCATACTTCTAGTCTAATAAATATTATGTCGTAAAAATGGCATAGCCATGCCATAAGTCCTTTCTAACAAAGTCCTGTGAACACAAAAAAGAGTACCAGCTTTAATGTACAGGTTATGCGTCTTTCAAAATGTAGGTTGTCCTAGTGTCATGGTGGCCCCTGTCACTGAACGTTTAAAGACGTTCATTTTGTTAAGTGCGGGCTTGGTTGCAGAAAGCAATGGAGAAAAAATGTGTCGTAGGTATTCCTTACATTCCTAGCTTATCTCACAGACTAAATAAACTAGGAAGTAGATAAGGCATTAATGTTGCTTTTACAGCTGCCAATAAACTTGGTAACATTTGTGCTGCAGTGCAGAAA